CTCAGACATTACAACTTTGTCTTGTAGGAAGTCATCTGGTAGGGGTAATCTGAAAAAATCTTCATCCCTAGGTTCTGAATCATCAGTGGGTAGGGAGGCAAAGAAGAGGCTGTCTGAGAGGTGGAAGATGACTCAATATTATCAAGACATAGAAATGGCTGGTAAGAGTAGTACACTTGGTGAAATGCTTTCGTTACCTGATGGGCGAATGAAACATGATTATTGTGATACCATGGTGCTTGTTGAAGAAGCGACTAACGAACCTGGTGGCAGGAAAGGAACTACTGAATGGGATTTTCCCTTGGGTATTAGTAGCAGGGATGGTTGGAAGGATGTATATATTAATGATTCATCAGGATACAGATCAACTTCTCCACCTTTTTGCAGCAAAAAGCATAGAACCAGAGCACGTCGGGAAGTTTTTTCTAATAAGCAATGCTCAATTTCCAAAGAGCCTGTAAATCGGGAACAGTCCGTAAATCATCACAGAAGTAGGTCATTGGATGGTATGGTGAATTCGAGAGATGAATTCTTATCCAAAGACTCTAGATCCAGCAAAAAGAAACTGCATTCCTATCGACTTGGTAGCGACTCCTTGTCAAAAGGCAAGCTACGCCAGAGAATCGATATGAACCTAAAAGAGGACCTATCTGAGAAGCGGTCTTTAGCTTCTCAAGTGGCTTCTGCAGATGGCTTGAGTTATACTAATGCTTCAGATGATGCTGAAACCGAGAGTATTACCTTATCTTCAGAATATTCTGTTGAGATGCATCGGAAGCTACCTGCGGAATGTGGCAGTGCTTCTCCTATTAACCAAGAGGTCTCAATTCTACAGGTCCGTTAGTTCTCTAATAGATGTTTTGCATTTTGTGTAATTTCTCACGTATATCCATTTGAGCGTAGTCGGCATATCTCTTTTGTTCTTTCTCACTTGCTGTAAACCTGTTGGATTGCCTTGTTTGTCTTGACTCTGACATGGTAACTGATGTGCTTTTGGTTTGGCTATAAGTTTGCATAGTAGTGTTTTAGAATCCTCATAGAAATGCTGCAGCGATTGTTGGTGAAGTTTCCTCATTTGACATCCATCCCTCTGACATTAATGCTTTCAGAAAATGGCCACAATGATTACTTGGTTAAGTAGCATGACCAACACTAAATGCGTCTTCCCTATTCAGTAATATTGAGACAGAAAATTTATAGGTTCTGGCTGGAGAATTTCATAATTGGTTGATGTGCTTTTCGAGAACTTCAAGTTGACCAATCTGATAGTATTAAGCGATGACTCTATATAGTTTATTTTTGTTTCATTTGTTCTAGAAGGAATTGATACACCGGCCTTCCACTTTAGTCTGTGAGATGTTCTGTTTTTCATGTTTAACATTGTGAGAGGATGGTAGTTAGATGACTTTCTTTGCATCAGCTTTCATGTGTAAAGCATTTGCATTCTTTGTACTTTCTGTAAACTGCATGTTAGCTGCCTCTTTTCCTTTGCCCATTGCATAATACTAACTCATCAAGAAGTAACTAACTATATATAGTATATACTGTGGTTACCATCTTGCCTATTAACTTTGTGCAAAACCTTTTCTGCTTGGATCAATTTGAAAAGCTTATCTTGCTGGTATGATATGTAAAATGTACCAAATGCACATGGAATTAAATGTCACGCACTGCATATGCTCATTGTGCTGAATGTGTACGTGCAGTAATGGCACCCAAAACACCTTTTTGGGGTAAAAGTTGCCTACTGGTACGTTCTATGGACGTAGATGGTTGGTTTATCCTTGGAGTAAAAGGATGTCTCTGCTTTTTGTTTCTATGGTGTTTACAATGAGATGGACAGTTTCATTAGTTGCTTCAGAGAGCAGTAAGCTTGCACCAAAAGGGGTTGGTAGACTGCAGGGTTTGATAATTAGGTCTTTAAAAATACCAAGGATTTATTAGTTATATGTTTACGATACATTTATTCTTAAGTTTTCAAGAGTTTCAAGTCATATTTATCTTAATGTGGAGCTTTCTGTTATGTAGGAAGCACTTCCAGAACCATCACCACCATCATCTGCAGCTGCTTCTGTTGTTTTGGAGTATCCTGCACCTGAACCTGAATCATCAGTAAGCTCCAAGGAGGCTGATCATCGTAGTCCACTTTCTGTTTTGGAGCATCCTGCACCTGAACCTGAATCATCAGTAAGCTCCAAGGAGGCTGATCATCCTAGTCCACCTTCTGTTTTGGAGGTTCCTTTTACAGAAGATGTGTCTTCCGGTTCAGAATGCTTTGAGAGAGTCAGTGCTGAACTTAATGGTAAGTGTGATTTCTTGACCATGTTAAACAATTATTTGCAACATATTACTTCTCATCTCCTCTGCAATCGAAGTGCTTTGCTTGATGACAACTCTAGTATTTGCGCCCTTATTTACGTTCTCATCATTATTGGAGTATTATTGCGTGTTGTTGTTAGTATTATTAGGTTTTAGTACATTATCTTTGTCGAATTGTTTATTTACATACTTGTATTCTCACCAGGGCTTCGCATGCAACTAAAGCTCCTCAAGATGGAATCAGAGCCTTATGCTGATGTAATACTAAGTGATGACGAGGTTGAGTCCTTTGAAGACAATTGTAGTTTAAGGTCCCAAAGCTGGCAATCTTCTTACATAATGGATGTGCTAACCGACTCTGGGTTGAAAGCATCCGACCCTGATACATTCGTAACATCTTTCCACACTTTGGAGTGTCCTTTGAGTCCATGGATTTTCGACAATCTTGAGAAGAAGTACACTGATGAAATAACTGGACCGAGATACGAAAGGAGGCTACTGTTTGACCGTATAAACCTGGGTCTACTGGAGATTGTTAGGAAGTATGTGGATCCCTGCCCTTGGGTGAAGCCAATAGAGGGTATTAACTGGAGATGGGAAACTTATGGGATGAAAAACACTCTGCATCAACTGCTGAGAAGCCACGAAGATCCTGCAAACGCAGACACACCTGGTAACGTTGTGGAAGAGATGCGTTGGCTAGCACTCAAGGATGACATGGATGTGACAGTTAAGGACATTGAGGAATTGTTGATAGAGGACCTCATAGAAGAAGTTGTAGGTGCAATCTAGGTGGTAGTTTCATACTCGATGATAACGAAAGATGGAAGGTTTTAGGAGATATAACTAATAAAAATACAAATGCTGCATTACCTAGTAATAACTATAGTTTAGCTTGATGACATTAAAATGCCAGTATCTGGCAATCGCATTATATGAAATATTTCTGCAAGTAGAGCAAAGTGCATAAGCTTGTTGAAGTTCAATTTGAATCTGTTTTTTCCTTTATGTTTTCTAGTCTCTATGGTTGTGAAGTGAGTCAGAGCGGCTATGAATCCAGTCGTGCAAAAAGTGCTAACGTATCTTGTTTTTTCCTGCATTGGCAACCTCGAGAGCAGAGGGCTTATGGAGGAGGTGGTCACTTGGTTAACGTGAACCCATGCTTCCCTTCCGAAATCATATATAGTAGTGTTATATTTTTTAATTTTTTTTTGGTAAATATAAATGTATGAACCCATACTTCATATAATGTGATGATGAGTGGGTGCAACTCTCACTAAGGTTAAACATTTGATTTTTTTTATTTATCTTGTTTTATTTTTCTTTTTGAAAATTTGGTAACATCTCTTTAAGTGGTTATTGATAGCACTTTTCGTGTTTTAATTTATTAAGCATATTAATTGTGGAACTATAATTTAAAATTTTAATTGTTTTTAATGATAAGAATTTAAATGTCAAACCGATTAGATCTACCTTTTCATGATAGGACACCAATCATTTCGAAATTCTGGATAAGCCTCTACTCCAAAGTGCTTAAAAGCTTCAGAAATTTAAAACCAAGGATCGAAAACTAGTAATAATCAAGAGCAACTTTCACATATAGCAAATACAAAATTCATATTTGTATGCTATAACAAAGTTTGCATAATTGCGCTTCATAGCAAACATAAATATGTATATTTCGCTATACATATACAAAAGAAAGCAGTTGTATAATCTGCTTTGGTATACATATACAAAAAGATCAATTGTATAAAGTGAGAGAGGCGAGTGAACGAGCGAGATCTGGGAGAGTGGCGAGCGAGATCTGGGAGAGGGGAACGAAAATATATGTATATATACAATTTTCACGCATTTTATATATTTGTGTTTTTGTATAAAGTGAGAGAGGCGAGTGAGAGAGAGAGATTTGGGAGAGTGGCGAGCGAGATCTGAGAGAGGGGAACGAAAATATATGTATATATACAATTTTCTCTCGCTTTATACAACACAAACACATTTTATACAATTTGCGTTTTTTTGTATAAAGTGAGAGAGGCGAGTGAGAGAGCGAGATCTGGGAGAGGGGAACGATAATATATGTATATACAATTTTCTCTCGCTTTATACAAACACAAACGCACTTTATACACTTGCGTTTGTATAAAAAACGAGAGAGGTGAGGGAGAGAACGAGAGTGGCGAGCGAGATTCACTAGGGAGAGGTGAAATAACAATAATTTGCTATGAGGTACAATTAAATCAAACTATATTTATAGCATTTAATTTGAATTAATAGTTTGCTATTATATAGAATTTTCCCATAATTCAATTCGGATGCTCATTTAGGAAAAAAAGATTACTTTCGAGTTGGAAGTAATAAATAAAATAAAAATAAGATGAAGATAAATTTGAGAAATTGAAGTAAGGTATACTTTGACTATGTATTTTTTCATTATATTGATAGGCAAAAAGTTGCAATTTATAATATTTTTCGTATAATTTTTGAATATCTAAATTTTTTGTTTATAATATCGAACTAATGTAATCTAATTGAACTTTAAAAATTAGTTAAATTAACTTTCGAAAAGCTTAACATAACAAATAAAAGTAGACAGAAAAAGTATATAAATAAAGTCAGGATAAAAAATAAAATATAATTTATTAAATAATAAATAAAAAAAACCCTCCAAAAACTGTTTGGGCCTCAAACTTTCAACTAAACCCTTTCCCTTCTTTTCAACTGCCGCCCTTCAAAGCTTGTCTACCGGCGGCGCGGCGTACCGGTAATTGATCTGCAGTGATGGCGGGGACGAAGAGAAAAAGCAGAGAAGGAAATGGACAAAACAAAGGAAGAGACTTTAAAAAGAAAAATCAAGGTTCAAGTGGAGGTAGTGGAGGAAAAGATGGTAGAAGAAAAAGGGTCGGTCCTCGTTTGCCTAATGCTATGTTAAAGGAGCTTCAATTACCGAAACGGTACGCAGATTCCGATGAAGAAATTGGTTCTGATGATGCTCTTAATGACTTGTATGAGTATGAAGAAGGGGTTGCTGAAGAGGAGTCCAGGAAGAATAGACGTTTTGACACAGTTGAAAATTACCAATATGAGCTTCCTGAGGAATTTGAGGTATTTATTTCATTTCAATTTAATTGTTAATTTTTGCTCTGCTAAGCTCATTCCATTGTTATAGTCATAGGCTTTATTAGGTATTAGTTATGTTGATAGTTGTAATAGCTTTTTTTGGCCTTCCTGGGAGCTGATATTCTCATTGTAATACTTGCATCTTCTCGATGCTTTTTGTTCATTATAATGCTACTGCAGATAAAGAACAAGTCTTACCAATTTAACTGACAGGAGGAGGTAAGTTATGTTTATTTGCTATATTAGAGCTTTTTGTCTTTTGGTTTGGTATTAGAATAGACTAAATGGAGATGATCACATCTGATTGTATTACTAGTTGGACAAAGAGGGTGAAATCTGCAGGAGGATGGTTTTGTTCATCTACTAGGTAGACCTCTATTACTAGTTGCACAAAGAGGATGAAATTAAAGAAGGCTGCATGAGGATGGTTTGGTCATGTACACATATGACTCCAAGCGCCTTCGGTTTGTAATTGTGACACTATAATGATTGGAAGTGTTAAAAGTGGACGAGGTAAACCTAAAGTAACACTGGGAAAGTTGTCTCAAAACTACAATCTCATGAAATCTGTAGCAAACGAACATGATGCAATCATGCAACTAAAAGTAAAAGATACTATAAATGATATTAACTAATTAGGACTAAGACTTAGTTGTGTTGCTACACTTATAGGTCTGTGTTTAGAAGGAGTCTTTTTAGTTTGTTTAAATGCTGGTAAGTAGAATATGCATATGACCTCTAGGGTTGGGGAGCCCTTAATTTTGTCTTAAAAGACACTTTTTTTAGATTGGAGCAACACGGGATCGGTGAAAATCCTGGAGGGTTCAAATTCCAAGATAGAGGAAAAGGTAGGGGATTTCTATCAATTAGGGATAGCAATTGGGGTAGGGACGGGGCAGGGAAGCTAAGTTACTCGGACTCTTCATTTACAATGCCGCACTCATGTCGATTCGATGTGGGTGTCGGATCCGTACCCGATCTAGTCAACCCGTTTTGGGTACTTTGACCAAATTCGAGGGAGAAATTGTGGACAGATTCAATGATTTTTATAATTAAAACAAATAATGTGAAATTGAAGAAAATAGAATACTTTTTATATATATATAAATTTCTATTGCCACTCCCTTTCCGTTTATCTCCTTCCATGATTCTCCTCTTGATCAATATTTTCTCCTCAATTTTTTCACATAATATCTTATAATTTATGTTTTATAACTCTATTTTTAGATATTTGAATTATCTTTAGCTGAATCCCCACATCCGTATCCATACATGGATTCGTATCTCCGAATCTTATAATTTAGATCATTGAGGATCTGACCTCTAGATCCGCACCTGTATCAGACACCCGCACCCAAGTCTGGGCAACTTAGAATGGAAGAGCCTTAACGAGGCAGGGCAGGGCAAAACTCATTTTAGGAAAATAATTAGCAGGGCAGGTTGCAGCTTGACTAAGACTCGTGAGTTTAACTGAAATTTTATCATTTGTCGGAGTTTAAGATGCTAAGCATATGTCACCCATCTGGCCACATCTGGACTGGATTTTCCCTGTATGCAAAGATCACATTTGTTACAATTAAAAAATACAGGTTTGACATTGATAACATGTGAAAAGTTCTTGACATTAACATGTGGAAGGTTCAAACATCTTGAGCAACAGCTTATACATATGATGTATAATATATATATATTTTTTGAGATTGGTAACTGTTTCTATTTCTTTAAATCAAATATGATGTATAATATATCATAGTCCACATCTGGAACCAAATGTAGAACAATATCTTGCCGAATGATTTATGTTAATCTTTTAACACATTACCTATGGTTCTCTTTTACATTAATTCAAGAAAGTTCATTATGATTATTATAATTATTTGGATGGAAGAATATGTATTCTCATACTTAAATCTACAAAAATAAATATGTGCACATTCAAAATTTGACACTGTCTTTCACCAGTTAATATGATTATGAATTTTTGTAGTTTATTGATGCTATATCTGCAAATGGGGGGTAAAACAGGGCAGGGTAGGGCAGAAGGCAGTGACTTAAATGGGGCAGGACAGGGAAATAACTGAGCAGGGGAAGACTTAACCAACCCTACCCCGCCCTATTGTGATCCCTACTATCAATCTCCCTAAGCCCTAGTGGGCTATTCACATACCTGTGTTGGTGGGAGTTAGTTGGTGCTCAGTGAAATAGTGAAGATCCATGTAGCTTTCCCAGCCACCATCCCAATAATAAAAGTGAGAGAAAAAAGAAAATAGAACAGTATGTATATGGAAGATCCATGTAGCTCTGCCTTCTAGTTTGGGATTCATACGCGTTGATATGCTCTTGTATATTTGTTTGGTTTAATCGCTAATGTTACTTATTTAGAACTTTGTTCCAATGTCTGAAACAATGTTTGCCTGATGAAACAGTATGCATTGTAATTTTACTCCTTCCTTTTTGGGATGTGTAGATCCAGTAATCTTTAGCTAATGCATGTCAAATAACTGGATTCGTAGTCCTCACTTACAGATGTGATATTATTTCTGTCTAAACACTGAAATGCTTGTGCGTAAAGAATTGATATTATGATTACTTAGGCCTGCCTCCCCCACCACCACCAAGCTAGGAAATTTGGGGACACTAGATTCCCCCCCTCCCACACACACAAATCTAAATGAACTTTATTGGTTGTAAATATTGACTACTTGTATATAAGTGTGGAGGGATGTGAAACCTTACCATGAGTTACAAAAAGCAAGAACATCTTGATGCTTTGTAGTACTTTTTTCCCTTTCAAATTTTGATTTGCATTAGCTGCAGTCTGCAGAAGATGGAAATACCAGAGTCTTTTTGTCTTTGGTTATGGTGGATTTATAGGCATTGTATTTTTATTATGTAGGATGAAAATGTACCTTCGGATGAAGAAGATGGTGAGGATGATGAGGGTGGTCAGAGAGGAGATGAAGAGGAAGAGGAAGAAGATGATGGAAGACATTCACGATTGTTGCAAGAAATTACTGGACTTCCAACTGATGCTTTTGATGGTATATTTCCTACCCACATTTCTTGAGTTTCATGCTTGCATTTACTAGTAGAATATGATGTGTTTTGTCAAACTCAATCTGTTTATATATTTTTTAACAATGATTTGTATGTTCTACTTGTACATATGTGATGTGGAAATCAACTAAATTTTAGTTTTCCCCCTTTTTTGTGCAATTCCATGTTTCTTTCCTTTTATTTTGTTGGAGAATATGCTTATCAAGTGCCCTGCTTTCCACAAAACCGTGCATTCTCCTCAGTCCTCAACATCGGGACAAAAGAAGATTTTTTGTCATCACATGTCATTTATTTGAATATATTGTGTAATCCATGATGAGAAGGACTGATAGCAAGATCCGTATGATAGGCAAGAAGAAGAAAAATGATGTTATCATATCTGAGGCATATTCAGAGTCCGAGTATAATCCCAGTCGTGATATTTTGGATGGGGATGGCCGGATTAGCATCCAGGATCTTCTGGACCCCCTCCATGGGAAGTCTGACCATAGCAAACTTAGAAAGAGCATGAGTCGGATGGAGAAGAAGTCCATGCCTATTCATGCACCTCTTCCGAAACCAGATCAAGAAAGATTGGAAAGAGATGCTGCTTATGGTTTTATCCAGAAGGATGTTACAAAATGGGAACCTCATGTCAAAAGAAACAGAGAGGCACCGACTATATATTTTGGCAAAGATAAGGACGTGGGATATTCTACTGTAGGAGAAATCGCTGCTGAATTTGAACCAAGAAGTGATTTTGAGAAAAAAATTGCTTCTCTTTTTAATGACCACGAGGTTGTTGAAGCTCATAGAAAAGATGGTGCAAGACTTCTTGAACTTAATAAGGTATGGAGGTCATAACCTTTTACACGCTTATTATTCCATACTATTCATTCAGTGTTTTTTAGAGGAAAACGGTCCCTGTAAATTTTTGTATTATATTTATGTTAACCACTTTGGCAGATATCTGTAGAAGATCTGAAGGAGCGCCAAGACCAGCTTGCTAAGATGCGTAGTCTTCTTTTCCGTCATGAAATGAAGGCAAAACGAGTCAAGAAGATAAAGTCAAAAGTGTATCATCGTTTGCTAAAAAAGGATAGATTGAAACAAGCAGGTACTACAATTGAAACAGATCCAGAAGCAGCCAAAGAGCAGGCCATGAAACAAGAATTCAAAAGGGCAGAGGTAATTTCATTCATTACCTGTGTGAACTCACGTAGGAGTCTTGTCTGCTTTTCTGGTTATTTTCTGATTGAGTTTGTCTCTTTTGCGACTAAATTTTATGTAGGAACGCTTGACCCTGAAGCACAAGAACAGCTCCAAGTGGGCAAAGCGCATCTTAAAACGTGGATTGGATGTGCAAGATGACGGAACACGAGCTGCTATTGCTGAACAACTGAATCAACATGCCCTTTTGTCCAGAAAAGCAAATAACATGAACGAGAGCAGTAGTAGTGAAGAAAGCAGTGATGAGGATGACCTTGATGAGGCTTCTGATGGATCAGATCAGGATGCTGCAGTAAAACTGTTGAAGAAAGCAAAGGACAAGACTGCTGAAGTCTTAGAAGGGGACGAAGAATTGCCAGCGTCAGGAGTGCTTTCCTTACCTTTCATGGTAATTTTATCAGTCTTTCCTTTGCACCACTGTTTGCTCTAATTTTTTTGAGGTCTGAAAGTTCATCTATGGTACTGCCATTTCGCAGGTACGTGGATTAAAAAGAAGGAAAGAGGCGGCCGATGAAGAAGCAAAACTTGCTCTAGAAGAGTTTGAGTCATCATTGAAGGAATTAGAAGACAAGAACGAGCCAAAAACTCAAGGAACAAATATTTTGACTGGTAGGAGGGTTTTTGGTGCTCAAAAAAAGCAGGCACCTGAACCCAAAAAGAAAGCGACATCAGACAATTATTATGGCGACAGTGATAGTGAAGGTGAGACAGATGCCAGAGAAAATGGCATCAATGCTCATGAAGAAAATAATATTTCTCAGAGGGAAGTTCATTTTGATCCCAATTTACTTCGTGAAGAGTCTGAGATTAATCATGATTCTCTGTTTAAGGTAATTGCGTTGCAAACTGCATCAAATCCTGCAGTACCATATCATATTGCCCTCTTTTCTACGTTGTTTGTGGTGATTAAAGTTTGACTTTGTCCTGTTTCAGAGTTTTGACGACATTGCGAGAGACCCAGGCTCAAAGACATCATACGAAGTTTCCATTTTTGCAGCCGACTCATGGAAAAAGGTTGAGCCTTTGTTGTCTCAAAATCAGTTTTCTTACTCCTTTTGGCAACGTTAGTCTTATTGGTGTATTTGGTGAACAGATGAATGATTCATCAGCTAAAGGGAAGCAAACAAAATCTGCAAATGCAAAGAGTGCAATCTCTTTACAGATCACAGAACCTGTTGAGAGTAAACCTGATGGGGAGGTAATCTCTCTACATGCTGAATCCACAATGCAACCTTCTCTGAACTGTTTGTTACTATTGACTCTTAATTTTGCTTGCAGGAAATTGATGAGGATAGTGATACAGATAGTGGGGGAGAAATGGTTGATGGAATTTTAACATCTGGGACTAAGTCCACATATGAAATCCCATCTCAAGAAGAACTTATTCGGCGTGCTTTTGCTGGTGATGATGTTGAAGACGACTTTGAGAGAGAAAAACAAGATGCATTGAATGAGGAAGTTCCAGAGCCTGAGAAGCCCGTTTTACTGCCTGGTTGGGGACAGTGGACCAATATACAAAAGAAGAGAGGTCCGCCTTCTTGGATGCTTGAAGAACATGATAATGCCAAAAAGAAAAGGGAAGAAGCTCTCAAAAAGAGAAAGGATGCTAATCTGAATCATGTTATCATCTCCGAAAAGAGGGATAAGAAGGTTGGTCATTGACAAACTTCATCCTAAACCTGATTTAGATGTTGAGGCTAAATTTTTAGGCTTTACTAATAGTGATTGCAGATTTTATGTGCATGCGTGATAATACTTTATTTTATTTGCTTTTTCCCTTGGCTTTAAATTAGCGGGATTAAAATCTTCTAAATATTAGGTGAAGTTAAAAATTATCTTTCTGCAATCAAAGAGAAGTTGGATTGCTAATCGAAAAATGTAGATAAACAAAAGAACAGAGAAACGCAGAAAGCAGTAGAGTAGAGTTTCAACTTTACCATCATTCACTTGCAGGAAACACAATTCTTAACTTTATGTAGATTTGGTAGTGGTTATGTCGTCTGTGCTGGAGATGTTCAGACACTCTATGCAACATGCATTTTTGTTATTTTTCATTATTTATCCACACAACAAATTGTTCTTCAGATGGTTTCCTAATCTGTCTCAGACCTGTCCAACAGATGCTTCTCTGTACAGAAGGCTATGTCTTCAGTGTTGCTTGTCTTTGCTTAAAGTGCACTACTGTTACCACGATTTACTCAATTTCTATTTTACCATGCAGGCTGAGAAGTTATACACGCCAACATTACCTTATCCGTTTACATCCCAAGAAATTTTTGAGGGGAGCATTCGGATGCCCATTGGACCTGAATTCAACCCCGGAACAGCAGTTCCAGCTCTTATTCGCCCAGAGGTCTGTCCTGAAGCATTCTATCTAATTTTAGTTTTCTCTATCTATCTATATTCTTGTTTCCCTGAAGTATACAATCCTGTATGTGAAACCTCCCTCCCGCCCATCCAAACCCAAAATATTTTTAAAAAGAAGAGGCAAGGCCTGCATCTGAAATTTTAGAATCCAATTGCATTAAAGTTATTCCTTCTGTTTAGCCCTTAAATTTTAATTTGTGTATAAAAGGTTCTCTCTTGTTGCCTTCTCTGTTCTGGGGGAAGGAGTTAGTTTTGGGACTACAATTTTGAGGTGGTTTAGGTGTTTGGTTGCTTATGTTGTAATTCTTACAGGTGGTAAAGAGGAGCGGTAGTATCATAAAGCCAATCAAATTCAAGGAGGTAAATCCCCATGAAAAAGCACAAGACCACAAACGTGGTGGTGTGCAGAAAAGGAAGGGTGGTAAAAGTAAGGGCAAAGCCACAAAATAGAGGACTGTGTGGACCAGAAACATGAGGTTTGACATTCTCACGAAGAAATCTTTATGGCGATTCTGCAGTTCCGAGATCCCTTGGTTGATAAATCACTACTCGGGGTCTTTCTTGCCATGTTCTTGTTTCGTCTTCACAGTTATATGGTAGAGTTTTTTCTTTGTTGCAGTTTTACACAATGAAGGCTCGCGAATCATGATAATGCGGAGGCTTTACTCTCCACAGATGCAGCAAAAGGTTTTTTTTTTTTGGTTCTAATGTAATTCTTTAGCAGATGGTTATATAGTTCTTGTGAGTGTACCAAGTGAAGTAGCTATTTTGGGATTTGAAGGTATTTAAAATGTATAATTGGTTCAAGTGAAGCAGAGGGGATGCAAAAGTTTTGTTTCATTTGTTGCAAGTTTAGAACTTAGCTATGATTTTATTAAAAATGAATATTGAGTATTAAATATTTATGTGCCAAACAAAACCCAATATCAAATAGTAATTAATGTGGTAGTTATGGTTGAAAATATCTTGTCATTTATTTAAACTACTGGCACAACCGAAGCAAAAATTTGACTTAATTAATTCGATTTGATTCTAACATTTGCAAAATCGAGTAAATCGATTTGGTCATCTTTTAGAGAAAAAACAAACCATGAACATATCTAAAAACAGGAGAAATACATGTTACTTCTTATATTTTCGAGAGAAGTATCGAGAACACCTTAAACTTGATGCGAATTATTAGTTTCGTCCCTAAATTATTGACAGCCTTAAAAACACTTCTCTACTTACTAACTAAATTTAGATACACACTCGATCTGCTACATGACATAGCAAATGAACTCAAACTTTTGTAGGAACATGTGACTCTTACTAAAAAGTGGAGAGAAGTGTTGATTACACCCTAAACTTGGCGAGAATGTAGTTTAACGTGTATTTTACTCATGTTGCAAGATCTGGGGTGTATTTAAGTTCAATTAGTCAAGTAAATGAGCGTTTTAAACTGTCAATAATTCGGGGATGAAATTGATAATTTGCGCTAAAATTAAGGATGTTTTCGATACTTCTCTCTATATTTGTTTTGTGAAAGGCCTAGTTATTTACTCATATTATAATTCCGATATAACTTATTTCATCTACCAAATAATCCCTAAATGTTTCAAAGGGGTGTGTAAACGTTAGAAGGCAAATAATATATACAAAAATGTAATAAATTAGAAAAAAGAAGAAATTATAAGGACATAAATTGCAAAAAACTTTCATAAGATTTTTTCACTATAAATCAAGCACCCATATGAAATTATTTTTATGCTTAATGCCTTTTTGGTCCCTTAACAAAGTTGATTATACATTCAATTTAAAATGCACATACACCATAGTAAAACAAGCTCCACTATACATATAATTCCGATGGCCCGCCAACACCATCGTCCATCCTCGTAGGTGGTGCATTAGGCGGTAATGAGGTGGGACCCGTTGGCGGAGGTGGAGGTCGAGGTCGAGGTGGTGGACACATCGTTGAAATAGGCATGCCAGGACTTGTTTTACAAGACGGAGCGGATGGAGGTAAAGGGACAAACTTTGGTAGCATGTTACCAAAATTATCGATTTGAGACTTGAATTCGAATAATTTTCTATGAGTAGTAGTTGCATGACTCGAAGAATAGCAAAGAGTTGTCAAAAACAGAAAAAGAAGACACTTAAAAAGTCTACTTTCTTTGTTCATCATATCATAGAGCTAAAAATATTTAGAACTTAAAAATGTGTAGAAATAATATTGGTTTATAATTTTGTATAGGAACTATGTTATTTATATAGTTCAAAAAAGTGTGTGAACATTATTTAGTGACCTTCTTTTCTGTTGGAAGATTAATCAAGAATAATCCTAATTTTGACTTAACCACTAAGAAGTTGGGGAGTAAATTTATGAGTCATGTAACAGTTGAGTGATTAATTGATCTCTCTGAGAAGGATGAAAACCAAATGATCTCAAATTTATATCGATAGCATAGATAAGGTGATGACAGGAGCCGATCCACCCTTACGCAACGGTATCAATCGACACCCCTTCATCAGAAATTATATGGTGTGTAAACGTCAAATTTTGATTTAATATATATATGTATAAGTATTGATACCTCTTGACACAAGTTAAAAAATTAGTCTAGTGGTTAAGACGTAAAAAATTCTTGAGGTCGTATATTCTAGTCTTATTGCCTTAATGACAATCATGGGTCCGCTACTGGGTGATATGACACCCCTTTATGACCTCCAGTCTTATTTATCTTTTTTTTTTTCTTTCATTCTTTTCATTAAATAATTTTTATTAATTAAAATATTCAATCATATTTCGTATTCTAATTATATCTAATGAGTTACAAAAAATCTTCATCTATTTACATTCTCTACTTCAATAATATGTCTATGCAACTCCTTTGTAATTATTCTTAGGATTTTTCCAATCTATAAATAATAATATCTAGGGACATGTTGAATGTTTTTTTCCATTTTCTCATTCTTTCTTTTTATTAGTATAGTTTTTTCCTCCTTTTTAATTTTTTTTTCTTCATCTTTTTCATCAATCATGTATTTAATAATCAAAAAAGAAGAAATAAAAAAAAGATAATGTCACATAAGTCCTCCACTTTGATAAAGATCATAGATATATTCTTCAAAGATTCGTCACAGAAATGTTCATGTTAGTTTGGTACAAGTCCATCAAAATGAAGGAAAGTTAATTATCTTAGAAGATTCATCAAGACTTCAAGAGAAATGGTCATATTAGTGTAAACGTTTGAATGAATTCCAAATATTTTAAAGAATCATTAATGTATTGTTTTGATTTCAATTAATATTATTCTATTTTTATTTTATTTTATTTTGATTATATATATAAATTTTTTTATCAAGCAAAAATTAAATTCTGAAACTCTACTTACTAACCAACATATATATATATATATATATATATATTTCTTTTTTGGTAACCAACAAGATTATATTAATGACTAAAGCGTAACCATTACATATCCAATAGCAAAGTCATACCCAACTTGCTATTCTAAAAAAAAAACAGAGACAACTAGAACAAAGGAAAACTAAGCTATCAATCTAAAACGCAAACTGATGAATGGGTTGCATAGTTTTCTGGCTGGCCCTAACACAACAAATATAAGCAATCTCCCTGGCAAGAGATTCCCAAGTTGTGCTATCCTTCTCAAAGATTTTGTGGTTCCTCTCAATCCAAATCGCATAGACATATAACTTAAAAAATTTGGGCAGTTGGAGTTTTCCGTTTTGCGGCATCAATGATTCCCAAGACATATTGGCTCCAATTGTTGTAAAATTGAATCCATTGTAATAACTTGCTCCAAACCTGTTGACTGTAAGGACAACTTGTATACATATGATCTCTGGATTCAAGATGAAGTTGGCAGCTCTATATCTAGTCCCCATTTTTTGAGCTCTATCAGTGGTGTTTAGTCTGTTTTGCAGCTGCAACCACATAGTGAAGACTGCCTTTGGCCTGACTAAGTTTTGAAACATCCATGGAACTCTCTGTTGGGGACGAAACAAGTGAAAGTATAGTTGCCTGATCATACTTTTGTTTTGCAAGACTGTGGGCTGAAACTGTGAATAAACTCCAAAATTTTCTTTACCATCCAACAAGCTTGTTGGGAAATGATCACTTAGCTTCTTGGAAAGGAGTTGTTTTAATATAGTAACTTAATCCACAACTTATATTGTTTATGCTCTAGGTCCCAACAATGTTTAGCAATAGCAGCCTTATTCCATGTGTGAAGATTAATCAAGTTGAAGCCACCTACTGATTTTGGAGAACAAACTCTTTCCCAAGCCACCAAATTAAGCTTTCTTGGTGATAGTATTAGTGCCCGACCATACGTAGCTTCTACAATGCGCATCAATGAGCTTAATCAAAGGGTTCAGAAGGCTCTCCATTAATCATTATAGTATAGTTCACTGTCTTCACACATTCCATTATATATAGTATACTAACCAACATATTAAAAAGTAATTTTTACTCAATTAACTTTGTCTTCTTATTATTATGCGAATGAAGATGAAAATACATACATTTTTGTTTGTTAATTTTTAATTAATATTCTAAATTTTTGCCACAACTAAAAGGTACAATATTACTTATGGTACATTCTCATAGCTATTGAATAGTATTGTCCCTAAAAATATATATGATATGGTCTATCATATTAAAAATCAGTCACAAAATAAATAAATCATCTTTTTAGTATTTATAAAATTTTAATTGAGCATATCCGACACCACTTTGTGAGAATATATTGGGTACATTATTATTGTTCTTATAATTGAATATATATTATTGATACTTGTTAATATGATATAAATAACACATGATAATAATGAAACCGTATGAGAATATAATTGTTGATTGGATAAATTACCAAACATGTATAGTTTATATTTTATCTCCTTATAAATTAATTTTAAACACATATTTTAAAGGGAAAAGGGTTTGAAAAAATATTCCAACTTTGACTGAAATTGCTGTTACGATACCAAACTTTAGAAATGACCTTTTATCCCCCTGTACTATTTAATAATGTATTTTAAAGGTATATATGTGCCTACGTGGATGTCATAAATATTGCATCATTTTAAATAATAATGTGTCCACATGGGCACATATATACCTTTAAAATACACTATTAAATAGTGCAGGGGGTAAAAGGTCCTCCATAAAATTGATATCGTAACAATAATTTCGGCCAATGTTAGAGTATTTTTCAGACCCTTTCTCTATTTTAAATAATTGGTAGTAAAAGTTGTTAAACTTGTTTTGTTTATATTGTAATTGATTCATGTATCTATTCTTGATATCATAGCTAAGAATAAAAAATATGATGCTTCACCTTTCTTTGTTAAAAAAATGCATTTATTAATATTCCTTTTTAATTGAAGAAATTCTCATTTATGTGTTATAAATTATTTATCGTTTTGACATTGTAGATGAGATGTATATATATAATGAAGAGTTATTTTATGGTTATGTTATGATAAATGTGCGTATGTGATTAATGTGTATCTAACCTTATAATTATTTAAAGTAGACATTATTTATCTTAATTTTTCACATTAAAGAAAGGAGTTATGTTTTGAAGAGTTATTATCATATGTTATTTTTTCAGTAATGACTATAATAATAATTAGATTAACGTTATGAACTCTTTCACTACTCTATATGTGTTAGGGAGAAATATTGATCCAACTCCTGATATACCTTTCTACAACTTGACACTATATGTACTCTAAAAAATTTAATATTTTGTCACTCTATGATCATTTCTATGTAATCGAGTAGATAAGTAAACATCAAATTATTAATGACATCATGACTTATTCTAAATATACATT